GTATCCACAGAGACTGGGTATATTTGTTTCTTAAGAAATCCAAAGTAACACAGGGGGTGATTTTGTAGGAACGACGATAATTAAATAAATTCAAATGAGAAAGTAAAAATAAATAATTAACTAGAAATTAAACCACAATTTGCTGAACTCAGGATAACAATAATTAAAGGCCTAAATTAATTAAAATAAGGTAGCAATCAAAAACAAAATAAAGTAGGCAATTAAAAGTCAAATGGCAATCCACTACACTCAAGGAAATATTAACTAAAGATCTAGCCAAGAAATAACTTCAGCAATGGTTCACCTAATTGATCATTGATGCAAAGGCAATCCCAATTATTTACCAATAAATAGGTTATAACTACCAAACAAGCGATGGCAGTCAACCCCTCCTTACTGTGTCGGTGATCAAGGTACGCCCGTTAATCACTGCTCTAATTGAGAAACAATCCTAGGTACGCCCGTAGAATTTAATTCCCCAACTGCCTTACGTATTAGAGGAGCCCTATTCTAACCAAATAACACACTACCAGGGTTATTTTAGATTAGCCCGCGTATCCCCCTGACACGAATCTAATCGTGCCAGCTGTCACTATTTTGAGGTAATTAAACAATTACGGATCTAATACCCCAATTGACAATAGATTACCAAATCAATTAATTATCCGGATCCAAGACAATCAACTAATTAAATAATCAAAAGCATAGTAATTAGGGAATGCACGAATACCAATAAATAAAAAGGAAAGATTTGATTAAATCGATCTCACAATTTTCAGGTGACCCAAAGCATCCGTCGTTTCTTGACTAGAACGAGGGGATTAGCTCATATTGGATGAACTGAGCCCGCGGGAAATCTCAACTAAAGTCACGGCCATTGTATGTATTTCAAGAGCCGCAATTCGTCGAACAGTAAGAACGCAAAATGAAAGTCTAAAGCTGCAATTGAATCTGTCTATTAGTCCCAGCCTCCGTATGGCACAACAAAACCAACGGCACAAGGTGGAAAAGTCAAAGCTAAAAGACAAAGTTGCTTCCTCCTCACATGCGTGGAGAAAAGCTAAAAGAAGGCTAACAAGAAAAGTCCAAGTCAAGAGAAAGTCAAAGATTTTTGCTAAGTTACGGATGAAGAATCCCCCCAGCCAAAGCCAGCCGTCCCCTCCTTTTCTCCTACTCCTGCCGCAGCTCTCCCGCCAGGGAAGGAACAAAAGCCCTTCTTCGGTTCAGCCCATGCCCAAAAGAAAGGGCCCAAAGATTTCTTCCATTTCCAAAATTGCCCCTGAGACAAGCGCTGCTACTTGCTCTCCTTTTCTATCAAATTGGTACTTGTTATCATATTTTTGCTCTACTCCCTGAAATATACGTAAATTAAGAAAAGTGAGTAGAACCCATCAATTAATCCACATCAAGTCGGGTAATAGGGGGAAATAATAATAAAATGAATTGATAAATTGCAGCCTATCAATTCCCCCCACACCTAAACCATGCTTGTCCTCAAGCATAAGAAAAGTAAACGAACACCAAAACTCGATGATGGTCATTGCCCAATCTCCTATATTGCCAAGATATTCAAGAGAAAAACATATATCGGGCACTAGTGAATAAAATCCAAGAAGCACCCCCCCCGGTTAGCCTCTAACCCCCAGATTCCTTCAATTTCCAAATTAACTACTCTAAGAAAGAGGAATGGCACACAACATTTATCAGCTAATGGTCCGAATATTCACACAAGTCTCCATATCTAGTCCATAAACCGGCAAGCTTCCCTATTATTTAGTCTCTCTCTTTTTTTTTCATATTTCATTTTCTTTCGATTTTTTTTTTAAGCAGTAATAATTAACACAAAAAGACTTAGTCGTTAGCCGTCAGGGCCTTTTGACGCGAACTCCAACATTTTCAGATGAAGGAGCCCGGTTACTCAGCCCCTACCGCTATACAACCACGTACTCATATAAAGTACCACCTTTTGACGCGAGAATCGACACTTTTAGGTGCCGATCCCCGGTTACTCAGTAGTAACTTAATAGCGGAGTACAGTCAAACTTATTCACAGCCAAACAATGCACAAGCGCAAAATAACAGCACTAACAATCAAACATAGGAGCAGCTCGCCTCATTATTGCCAAAACATGGAGAACTGGAGTCAATATTGGACCAGTTCACCTTAAAAGGCCATAGTCATTCCCTATGCCTAGAAAAGTTAGCAAAGAAATCGAAAGAGTCAGGCAGTTCAATATTCACCAAGGAGGTACTCAGGACCCAACCACTTTAACCCGATACATTTTGTATTTTAAGAACTTGGCAAAAGTAGACTTGGAGGCAATAAACCAACATCTCAATTTTTAGCATTCACATGAAGGGTAAGCACCATGAAAAAAGAACGAAAACGAGCAACTAGAAATAAAACTAAGAAATGCTACTAAAAACTAAAAACTTACATTTTTTTTTTTTGTTATTATGTTTTTTCTTTTTTTTCTTTTTTTTATTAACCAACAAAAACTACAAACTAAAACTACTAAAAACTAAAAACACTAAAAACTACTAAAATGTAAAGCTGAAAACTGAAAACTACTAAAAACGGACCACACTAGCATAACCTTAGATCCCCCCCCCACACCAATAGGACACATTGTCCTCAATGTGACAAATAAGAACCAAAAGTGAAGCAAAAGTGAGAGGGGAATCAGCCAAACTTCCCTGAAATCGGGTCATAGCGGAGGGCGAGGTGGAAACGGAGGTGCAAAGCCTGTATGCATCAGAAACTGCGCCAAATTCTGTGCTATGCCGGCGACATTGGCGTCAACGTTGGCCATCCGAGCCTGCATAGTATGAACCTCCTCCCGGAGTTGCTGCCATTCAGTAGTCCCATGCGGCGGAGGTGGCGCAGAAGAAGATGGCCCAGCCGCATCCTCGGCAGATCCAAGAAAGGAGGAAGGCCCTGCCCGGGACGAATGATGCGCACCCGGAGCTCTAAGTGGTCCCGGGGGCGTGAACTGGTAGGAACCATCAGGCAGGCGCTCGATGGCTCCCATCCTCTCCAAGCAGTCTACGTCCAAGAACTCCATCTCGCACGCCAAATGTAGGTCGTGGTCCTCCAGGTCAAGAACCCCCAACTGTATCGCCAAGTGAGTGATATAGGACCCAAGGATAAGGGGTTTGTTCTTCTTGGCCAAGACGGTCTTGAACTGAGCGGCCAACCAACACCCCAAGTTCACCTTGATATTGTTCTTCATACTCCAGAGGAAGAAGAACTCAGGGCGAGAGAGTATGCCAGAGCTGTCCTTGCGCCCTGAGTAGCTGTAGGCTAAGAGTCGCTGAACATAGCGGGCACTAGGGTCCTTAAGAAAGGAGCTCCTAGACCGGGAAGGATCGTAGCGCTGCCGATCGACGGACATGTCTTCCCACACATCATGGTAGTGGGAGAGGAACGGCTCTACGTAGTCACAAGCACTCTCTGCATACTCCCTAGACCCAGCATACTCTCTAGTGATTAACCCAAATGCCCGATTGAATTGGGTAATGGAGAAATTGAACTCTCGACCCATGAGCCGGAAATGAATGACCTGTGGGGTGTCTACGGTATATCTCGTAGGTAACTCGAACTCAAAGGTGGAGTAAAACTCCCTAGTCAGCTCGACAAAGGCGGGGCATAAGATATCGAGGTATGAGCGCCACCCGATGGCTGTAAACATCTGCTCGACTTCCTCTCGTATGCCTAGACCCATGACGGTTAATTTCTCCCAAGTTTTGCATGGTGTAATACGCCGCTCGCAGACCTTAGCATATCGCTCCTGATCAGCGGGTCTAGTGAAGGTTAAGTGTCCCCCAAAGTGAGTAGGGGTATCTACCTGCGCACCCCTACCCCTACCCAAACGGGTTCGAGCACCAGAAGAAGATGGTAGGTTGGTAGGTGTATTCACAGGGATGGAGGCTTGTGGAGGTGGCTGAGAACGAGAGGCCCTAGACCTAGAGGATGACTTTGGTCGGACCATATCTCCCCCACTTAGCTCCACTAGGACTACTCCAAGCGGCAAACAGAGAGGCGGAGGTGAAGCTGGTGGTGACTGGCGGTGTCCGTGTGCAGCGCGCGGCTGCCGGACAGAGGTTGCTGCACGTGCCCGTGGGCTCGTTGCTGCGCGCGGCGGCGCTGGCTTGGGCTGGCACTGTGGCTAGGCGACGATGGGGAGAGGCGCGCAGAGGAGAGGCGGCGCGCGACTCCAGCGTGGATGGAGGCGATTCAAGGGAGTTTGGGGGGACACGGCTGCCTGACTGCGGTGGGCAGCGGCGGCGTGAGCAGAGTGGCTACGGGCTCGTTCGTGGGTTGCGGGTGGCGGCCAAGGAGGAATGGCGGCGCGCGGAGGCGCGCGTGAGGAGCTCGCTGCAGCGGGCAGCGGCGCGCGGCTGTGGCGGAAGTGGAGGCGGACGGTGGAGATCTAGTGGTGGATGGCGGAGGTCGCGGGCGAGATGGGTGGCGATGGAGAGAGATTTGCTGACAGAGGCGCGGCGGGCGGCGATGGCGCGCGGCTCCGGCTGGTCGTGCGTGCGCAGAGAGCAGGGGAGCAGCAGGGGAGAAAGAAAGAAAAGCGAAGGAGAGAAAGAAGAAGAAAGAAAGAAAAAGAAAGGAAAGAAAGAAAAGAAAAGAAAAAAAGAAAAAGGAAATTTTTTTTTTCTTCTTTAGGCTACGGTTTAGAGGTCACATTTTTCTTCTTCTTGTTTTTTTCCTTTTTATTATATATTTTTTTTTGATTATTATTTTTTTTAATTGTGAATTTATTATTATTAAAAATATATATATATATATATATATATATTTTTTTTTGAATAAAGGAAATAATAATAATAGTTTTCCTATATCTTTTTCTCTTTTTTTTTTTTATTTATTTATTTGAATCCTTACCTTTCCCGCGAACGTGACGCGGGCACGTCATGAGGGCAAGAGAGCTCCCAGAAGTTTCAGAATTTCTGATCGTGAGAGTCATGCACATCACCACGCGGGCACGTCAAGAGGGCAGGATAGCTCCCAGAAGTTTCAGAATTTCCTGATCGTGAGCGTCCTGCACATCACCACGCGGGCACGTCAAGAGGGCAGGATACCTATAAATCAGCAAAAACGAAAATCAACACCCCAAAATCAGTCAAATTACAGGGAAAACAGATTTAAACTATGACACGAAACCAACAAGCAATTAAAAGAAACAATTGGGTTGCCTCCCAATGAGCGCCTTTCTTTAATGTCTTTGACTAGACATGGTAAAGTGTCATTGATTAGAACACGGTGGTGCGTCTAGCCTTATTGTCTCCCCCTCTCCACCTGAAAATCCTTCGTAATAATACTTGAGCCGGTGTCCATTCACCACAAATTGGTTGTCTGTCTTAGTACTCCGGATCTCAACTGCACCATATGGAAAAACGTGAGTAACAATGAAAGGTCCAATCCAACGGGAACGTAGCTTACCTGGGAACAACTTGAGCCTGGATTGGTACAGGAGAACCTTCTGACCAACCTCAAATGTTTTTTGTGAAATTCTTTGGTCATGAAATGCCCGGCTTTTCTCCTTATAAATCAAGGCGTTTTCGTATGCTTCGTTCCGGATCTCCTCCAACTCTTGCAAATCCAGCTTCCGTTGAGCACCGGCCTCCTCTAAATTCATATTGCATTGCTTTATCGCCCAAAAAGCCTTGTGCTCAAACTCCACTGGAAGGTGACACGGCTTCCCAAATACCAACCTGTACGGTGACATCCCTATAGGAGTCTTGTACGCCGTCCGATAGGCCCATAGTGCATCTTCCAACCTTTGGCTCCAGTCTTTCCTATCAGGGCGCACCATTTTCTCTAAAATGGACTTAATCTCCCGATTCGACACCTCCGCCTGACCATTGGTCTGAGGGTGGTATGATGTTGAGACCCTGTGGAGTACACCATACTTGCGAAACAACGCAGCTATGGTTCTGTTGCAAAAGTGCGTTCCCCTATCACTGACAATAGTTCTAGGCATTCCAAACCGCACAAAGATATTAGACCTGATAAAATCTGCAACTACTCTCGAATCATTAGTTCGAGTGGCCTTAGCCTCCACCCATTTAGACACATAATCAACTACCAGCAAAATATATAAAAAGCCAAATGAAGTAGGAAAAGGCCCCATGAAATCTATACCCCAGACATCAAAAATTTCAACAAAAATCAACGGGACCTGGGGCATTTGATCTCTACGGGCTATATTACCTACCCTTTGACAGCGATCACATGACTTACAAAATACATAGGCATTCTTAAATAATGAAGGCCAATAAAATCCACTTTTCAAAACCTTATGAGCAGTTCTCTTTGGTCCAAAATGACCTCCACAGGCAAAAGTATGACAAAAAACTAGAATTGATTGAAATTCCATTTCACTTACACATCTCCTCATGACTTGATCTGCACATCTCTTCCATAGGTACGGGTCGTCCCAGATGAAATACTTGGCATCGCTCTTCAATTTATCCCTCTTCGATTTCGGCCAACCTGCAGGAAAATTACCAGTTACCAAATAATTGACCAAATCAGCATACCAAGGCAACTGAGAATTTAAGGAAAATAGGTGTTCTTCGGGGAATGCATCCTTCAATGGCTCGCTATCCTCTTCAACTAGTATGCGACTCAAATGGTCCGCTACTAGATTTTCTGAGCCTTTTTTGTCTCTTATCTCCAGGTCAAATTCCTGTAGTAGCAATATCCACCTGATGAGCCTCGGCTTTGCATCTTTCTTGGTCATTAGGTACCTTAATGCTGCATGGTCAGAAAATACAATTACTTTAGCACCTAGCAAATATGACCTGAATTTTTCTAAAGCAAAAATAACTGCAAGAAACTCCTTCTCAGTGGTGGAGTAATTCAACTGGGCTCCATTCAATGCCCGGGATGCATAATAGATGACGTGAGCTGCCTTCCCTACTCTTTGCCCCAATACAGCCCCAACAGCGTGATCACTGGCATCGCACATGATCTCAAATGGCAAATTCCAATCGGGGGGTTGGATGATTGGGGGTGAAGTCAGCAATTCCTTCAGCTTGTTAAAGGCTCTCTCACACTTATCATCAAATTCGAAGGCTACATCTTTTTGTAGGAGTTGGAACAACGGGGCTCCAATCTTTGAAAAATCCTTGATGAACCTTCGATAAAAACCTGCATGTCCAAGAAAAGAGCGCACCTCCCGCACACTCGCGGGGTAAGGTAATGCAGAAATAATGTCTATTTTAGCCTTGTCAACTTCTATGCCCTTAGACGATACAATATGACCCAGGACTATCCCGTGCTCAACCATAAAATGACATTTTTCCCAATTAAGCACAAGATTAGTCTCTATACACCTTATCAGGATTAATTTCAGGTTATCTAGACAAGTATCAAAACTATCACCATACACACTGAAATCATCCATGAAAACTTCTATTATTTTCTCAACATACTCGGAAAAGATGCTTACCATACATCTTTGGAAAGTCGCAGGTGCATTGCACAACCCAAATGGCATTCGTCTGTAGGCAAAGGTCCCGAACGGGCACGTGAAGGTTGTCTTCTCTTGATCCTCCGGGGCAATTGCTATCTGAAAGTATCCTGAAAATCCATCCAAAAAACAATAATAAGCCCTACCAGCTAAACGTTCAACCATTTGGTCAATGAAAGGGAGAGGGAAGTGGTCCTTTTTAGTGACGGCGTTCAGCCTACGGTAGTCTATACACTGCCTCCATCCCGTGGGTTTGCGCACTGGCATGAGCTCACCCGTTTGGTTGGCTTCTACCGTTACTCCTGCCTTCTTTGGGACTACCTGGACCGAACTCACCCAAGGGCTATCAGATATTGCAAAGATGATCCCCACATCTAGCAATTTTAGAATCTCTTTCTTTACAACTTCCATCATGAGGGGATTGAGCCTCCTTTGAGCCTGCCGTACAGGTTTGGCATCCTCTTCTAGTCTAATCCGATGCATGCAGACGGCCGGGCTGATTCCCTTAATGTCTGCAATTGTCCAACCTATCGCCTCTTTATACTCTCTAAGGACCCGGATCAATTTCTCTTCCTGGGTTTTTGACAGTGCCGATGAGATAATCACCGGGAGTGTCTCATTATCACCCAAATATGCATATTTCAGGTGCTCTGGTAGAGGTTTCAACTCCAATACAGGTGCCTGCACCACAGATGGCAATACCCTCTGGTGAGACTCGGGAGTAAAAATAGGCAAGACTTCATGCCTTTTCGTGGTGGTCTGCAACGAGTGTAATGCACCTATTGTGCATTTTAAATCCTCGCTCCACTCCACCTCAGGAGTTGTCCCCAACACGAGGTGCTTGGTTAAAGCCACCTCCAGCTCATCCCTGCCATCAGTTTCAAACACTTCCTGCACTACAGGGTCAATAGCACTCACAGAAAAAACTGAGCTAAAGTTGGAGTTCGAGGGGTACTTCATAGTATCAAAAATATTAAAATGCACAATTTCCCCATCAAACTCCATGGACAGAATACCCTTATTAACATCAATTTTCGTCTGTGCTGTGCTCATAAAAGGTCTACCCAATAACAGAGGTGAGGGGTCAGGGGAGTGATCATCATCCATATCAAGTACATAAAAATCAGCTGGAAACACCAAATCATTAACTTTTACCAACACATCTTCAACCAACCCATCAGGATATGCATTAGTTCGGTCAGCTAATTGAATGATTATTCCAGTTTCTTTTAATGGACCTAATTTTAGAGAAGCATAGATAGACTTAGGCATGACATTTATTGATGCTCCCAGATCCAACATGACCCTTCTGATCACAGTATTACCTATCTTACAGGGAATAGTAAACATACCTGGGTCCCCGCACTTTGGTGGGAGCTTTCTCTGCAGGACCGCAGACACATTTTCCCCAACTATGACCCGTTCATCTCCCCTCAACCGCCTTCGGTTGACACACAAGTCCCTTAGGAACTTGGCATACTTTGGTACTTGTTTGATGGCGTCTAAGAGGGGGATATTTATCTCAACCTTGCGAAAAACCTCTAAAATCTCCTTCTCCTTATCCTGCTTCTTTGATTTTTCCAACCTGCTAGGAAAAGGAGGCGGGTTAGCTTTAACTTTAATTATTGGGTCAGGAAGTACCTTTGGATCTGCACCATTGCTATCCTCCCTTTCGAGCTCATTTTCGATCTTCTCTTCATCCTTGTCATTGGGAAACACAGGTTCAGGCCCCTGAATTTCTTTCCCACTCCTTAGGATCATTGCGCTCACGTTCTTCGGATTCAGCTCCGGTTGAGATGGCAGCTTCCCTTGGTTCTGGGACTCCCAACGGTTCATTCTGGTGGCCAATTGACCTATCTGATTCCTTATGTCCTGCATCTCGGAGTCCGTCTTTTGCTGATTTTGCATAATAGCTGCCTCCGTCCTTTGCTGATTCTGCGCCATGGTTGTCATCATTTGTTTCACCATCTCATCCGTAGATGAACCAGATTGAGGGGGCGGAGATGGTCGGGGTTGGTATTGCTGCTGGTATCCTGGTGGCTTATTTGGCACAAAGTTAGACTACCTGTTTTGCGTGAAGTTGGATTGCCTATTCCCACCATAACTGAGGTTGGGATGATCTCTCCACCCGGGGTTGTAGGTGCTTGAGTAAGGGTCGTACTGCTTCCTTGGCGCGGGCGCGTGGTCAGCCATGTTCACCTGTTCCGCAGTTTCTTCCTGAATCATTGGGCACATGTCTGCAGAGTGACCTATACCAGTGCAAATCCCGCATACCCTGGCTTGTGATGCATTTCTCACAGCCTGTTGCCTAACAAACGCAGTCAACTCATTTAGCTGCTGCTGCACAGAGGGTGTCTCTATCTCATTCACCCTACGTATTGGGACATCCTCTCTTATACTGAATTGCTGTGAATTCTCTGCCATCCCCTCTATTAGCTCCCGTGCTTCCTGAGGGGTTTTGTTCACCAGTGCCCCTCCAGCTGCAGCATCTATGATGCTCCTGTCTCTAAAAATGAGCCCCTCATAGAAATATTGTATGATCAACTGCTCACTTATTTGGTGATGGGGGCACCTGCGCAACAAGCTCTTATACCGTTCCCAATACTCGTAAAGTGACTCTCCGGGATGCTGCTTGATCCCACAAATTTCTTTCCTTAGGCTTGCAGCCCTGGATGCCGGAAAATATTTATCCAGAAATTTTTTCATCAATTGGCCCCACGTGGTGATGCTACCTGGTGACAGGTAGTACAGCCAGTCCTTCGCAGAATCTTTCAAGGAGAAGGGGAATGCCCTCATTTTTATCTGCTCTTCTGTGATTTTCGGGGGTTTCATACTGTTGCAAACGACATCAAACTCCTGCAGATGCTTATACGGCTCTTCACCTGGTAAACCATGAAAAGAGGGTAAAAGTTGAATCAGCCCAAATTTTAGTTCAAATGGAATGTTGTCATTTAAAGCGGGGAAAGTAATGCACAAAGGCTGCTGAGTTAAATCAGGAGCAGCCAACTCCCTTAATGTTTGTGCATTAGCCATGCTGAACTCCTCCTGGTCAGAGTCACTCGAAGTGTTACCAAACGAATCTGTTGGTTCAACTTCTGACTCGGGTCTTTGAGATGTAGCACTAGAGTGCTCTTCTCTGAGCTGTCTGGTTTCCTTTCTCGTTCTACGCGCGGTCTTCTCTACCTCAGGATCAAAAACCAAATCACCTGTGCGACAAGATCGAGGCATACACTAGAAGAAAACCAGAAAATTAGGACAAAATTGAATTTAGAAAGAAACAAATAATAACGCCAGTCCCCGGCAGCGGCGCCAAAAATTGACAGGTCGTCAACCTGTGCAATAATAAAATTAAACCTAATTGCCAGTTAAAATGACCAAAACCCAATTCCAAGTACTGGAGCAGGGACTCTAGGTGTGCAATGGGTTACTTGATTCACCCTGTTCCCGAAGAGTTTGCTTGATCCGATATACCCGAATGGAATGGTTATTCCTTTTCACAAATGATTAGGAATTTATAGGCAGGGCAAGTAGGGTCGTATCCACAGAGACTGGGTATATTTGTTTCTTAAGAAATCCAAAGTAACACAGGGGGTGATTTTGTAGGAACGACGATAATTAAATAAATTCAAATGAGAAAGTAAAAATAAATAATTAACTAGAAATTAAACCACAATTTGCTGAACTCAGGATAACAATAATTAAAGGCCTAAATTAATTAAAATAAGGTAGCAATCAAAAACAAAATAAAGTAGGCAATTAAAAGTCAAATGGCAATCCACTACACTCAAGAAAATATTAACTAAAGATCTAGCCAAGAAATAACTTCAGCAATGGTTCACCTAATTGATCATTGATGCAAAGGCAATCCCAATTATTTACCAATAAATAGGTTATAACTACCAAACAAGCGATGGCAGTCAACCCCTCCTTACTGTGTCGGTGATCAAGGTACGCCCGTTAATCACTGCTCTAATTGAGAAACAATCTTAGGTACGCCCGTAGAATTTAATTCCCCAACTGCCTTACGTATTAGAGGAGCCCTATTCTAACCAAATAACACACTACCAGGGTTATTTTAGATTAGCCCGCGTATCCCCCTGACACGAATCTAATCGTGCCAGCTGTCACTATTTTGAGGTAATTAAACAATTACGGATCTAATACCCCAATTGACAATAGATTACCAAATCAATTAATTATCCGGATCCAAGACAATCAACTAATTAAATAATCAAAAGCATAGTAATTAGGGAATGCACGAATACCAATAAATAAAAAGGAAAGATTTGATTAAATCGATCTCACAATTTTCAGGTGACCCAAAGCATCCGTCGTTTCTTGACTAGAACGAGGGGATTAGCTCATATTGGATGAACTGAGCCCGCGGGAAATCTCAACTAAAGTCACGGCCATTGTATGTATTTCAAGAGCCGCAATTCGTCGAACAGTAAGAACGCAAAATGAAAGTCTAAAGCTGCAATTGAATCTGTCTATTAGTCCCAGCCTCCGTATGGCACAACAAAACCAACGGCACAAGGTGGAAAAGTCAAAGCTAAAAGACAAAGTTGCTTCCTCCTCACATGCGTGGAGAAAAGCTAAAAGAAGGCTAACAAGAAAAGTCCAAGTCAAGAGAAAGTCAAAGATTTTTGCTAAGTTACGGATGAAGAATCCCCCCAGCCAAAGCCAGCCGTCCCCTCCTTTTCTCCTACTCCTGCCGCAGCTCTCCCGCCAGGGAAGGAACAAAAGCCCTTCTTCGGTTCAGCCCATGCCCAAAAGAAAGGGCCCAAAGATTTCTTCCATTTCCAAAATTGCCCCTGAGACAAGCGCTGCTACTTGCTCTCCTTTTCTATCAAATTGGTACTTGTTATCATATTTTTGCTCTACTCCCTGAAATATACGTAAATTAAGAAAAGTGAGTAGAACCCATCAATTAATCCACATCAAGTCGGGTAATAGGGGAAAATAATAATAAAATGAATTGATAAATTGCAGCCTATCACCAAGGTTGATTTCTTTTTGTCCTAAGGCTTATACAATAATGATAATAATATTTTTTTGCAGATATCATACCACTATATCTTGTCAAATCAACAAAGGAATGATTTTGGCACTCCACAAAAATCTTTAAGCATGCACTTCGCTCCCTTTTTTTCTCATTAATTAAAATAACTTAATAGCCATACACAATTTTGGAATTCAAATGATTGCCCATCTGTGTTTAAATTTTGTTGGCAACCATCTTTTTTTTTTTCCAAATTGTATGTCTACTATGTGTGACATGTGTAGTACTTGTACTTGTACTTTTTATTTTTTCTTTCATCTTTTTTTATCAAGGAACTAAATTGCCGAATGGTTAATAAATTTCGTAACGACAAAATGAGGGATGTACGATGGAGATGATCCATTTAACCAAAGGTTACCGGGAAACCAACAATTATTGCAAGTTCATTTTCATTTATGACATCATGAATTAAAAGGATTCTTTTTGTTCTTGTTGTATTATCAGAAAAGGGGCAGCATCTTATCAAGAGTGTAAGTGATAATCGAGAATTTGCCAGGGAGACCTGGAAAAGTTTAGATTCTCTAGATAGGCTATTATTTTCTTTTCGAATTTCATCAATTGACTGATGAGAAACGAAGCCCTTTCTCCCTTTCTTCTCTCTCGAAAAAACTCTCTAACTAAAACTCCTTTCAACTCTCTCATGATAAAGAGATCAGATTTTTCTGATCTTTTTCCATGGGAGGAGCCCTCTCTATAACTTTTTTTTCATTTGTGTTAATAAAATCTTTTCTAAAATTTTCTAGTGAGAGTTTTTTCTCTTCTTAGGGTTGTCTATTGAGATTTTTCTTCTCTCCTAAATTTTTTTAGTAAGAGTTTTTGATAATATTTTTTATTTTTCTTTTATTAGATCTAAGTCTTTTCAAATTTTGATTATCAGATCTAGAATTTCTTGGATCTATTCGATAGATCTCACCATAATATCTGGACTTGAAACAGTAGTTAATCAGCAGATCTGACGATTGGAAGCATGCACAGATATCCATGGAGCTATAATTATTTTATCTCATTTTTCAAATTTGGAGATTTACAATATAATTTTTATTGTTCTTCAGATTTATAGTATCCTTTTTTCAGATCTATTATTTGATATCTGTGTATGATGATGTAATTTTTGCTATTAGTACGTGCAGACTTTAGTGAAATTATGATATTTTATCAAAAAAAAAGATAGGATAACATCCAGCATTTTGACATGTACGTACTATTATATTCAAGCTAGTGAGGACCCTTGAGGATTAGAAAGTTATAAGAATTATCCTAGTGTTATATACATTGTGATTTGCAGAGTTATAGACAAAAATAAACATCTAAAATATTATTCTTTATTGCCTCAAAATGGATGAGTTGGTGGATACACCTAAAGTCAAGGAAAAGAGAAAGTGAATAGTTTTGGAATATTAAAGATTGAGAATTCAGGGGTCCAAATATGGGATTAGGCAAGATTTAAGGTAGACCTAATTTATAGATATACTTATAGACAGGAAGCATATATAGTGACGATATTAATTTTGTTGCAGCACAATATTTCACTGGCTATCATTTTTATTTCTTTTTCATCGCCATACATAACATTGATTTTGTGATTCTTGAATACAAATGTATGATGTCTATATGTAAATATAGTTTACCTAATATGCTTTACTGTTGAGTTTGACAATACAAGAAATCCTTGAATAAATCGTTCTAATCATCCCCATCTTCCCAACGTATTATCTTTGGATTTGATAATTTTAGAAGGGGGTGTTATTATTTATGGTGTTCCAACGTTGTGACATTGTTGAAAGTATATATGGAAGTTGCCCTGCAAAGATAATGGTTATAATTCATAAAAACCTAATTAAAATTTAAATTACAAATCAAATAAATTGATATAACTTATCAA